ATGTTATATATATATATATATATATATATATATAATTCATGAAAATTTTGTATTTGAAAAGTTTTTAAAAAAAAATTTTATGTGATTGGATAGATTTGAGTGATATAAATATAAAAAAAATAAAAAGACACATAATTAATTCAACGAGTACATAAAGGTTACGATTCAATGGAGGAATGGCTTCAATCGGCGGCAATGGCGACTCTGACTTCTGAAGGTTGTTGGTAGGTACATTCAATGGAGGAATAGCTTCAATCGGCGGCAATGGCGACTCTGCAACCAACCAGCCTTCCGGCAACAACCCTTCTCCATCCGGTTGGTGGAAGAATGAGACGCACACCAGAAAGAAAAGTTGGAAGAAAAATAGCTAAGAAGACTTTCTATGCCCTACAAAATCGACCCGATCCCCTCTTCTCACTTCCGGCAATCTCTTCCTATTTCTTTCTCACTTACTCCACCCCCAACCTTGCATCCCTTCTCCCATGGAGGCCAGCTCCGGTCTGGTCGCCGGTTCTCACAACCGCAATGAGCTCGTGCTGATTCGAGGGCATGAAGAGGTAAGGAAGGATCTTCATTGGACTGTTTTGAAGTTTTATTTAGCTAAATCTGAGTTTTGTGATTTTGCAGCGGAAGCAAATTAGGGCGCTGAATGGTCAAGTGTGTGAGATTTGTGGGGATGAAGTAGGGCTGACGGTGGATGGAGATCTGTTTGTAGCCTGTAATGAGTGTGGATTTCCGGTTTGTCGGCCGTGCTATGAGTATGAGCGGAGAGAGGGCAGCCAGCTCTGCCCTCAGTGCAAAACTAGGTACAAGCGTATCAAGGGTGAGTGGCTTTGTTTTATTTATTTTGTTTTTAAGTAAGATTTACATGGATATCACTTAATTAGAATGCATTTACATATCTAACATCTAATCTTTAATTTTTAAATATTTGTCGATTTACCTATGCATGAAAAGATTTATTTCACCTTTTGAAAGTTACAATATTGATATCTTTTTATGTGATATGAAAGTTTTGGGTAGTATAAATGCATCAAGTAAGGTTTATGTGTTAGATATGCAAACTCATTGGAATTGGGCGGTATGTTTGTAAATGTCCCAAAGTTAAAATGGTGGTAGTTTTTATGTGATATGAAAATTTTGGGTGGTATAAATATAAAAAATAAAATTTTAGTGTTATTTATGTAAATAAATAAGAATTAGGTGGCATGTATGTAAATGCCCCTTTTTTATTCTTATTTTTTGTTGAATTATGAAAGGTTTTGTAGAACTGCAGTTACAAAATCGTTAGCATGGATCTAAATTATGTATATACTTGGAATGGGCTGGTTGTTATCCTATTTTAGGCAGAATTTAGGGTTTGTTTAGGTTGCTGCAATTTTATGTTAAAGTAGTTGGAAACATCGTTGTGTAGAAAGTAGATTTTTATTCAAATTTGTTGTTGGAATTACTAGTTTTTCTCTTGCAAAAAATTAGGAAAAAGAAAACGATGTCTCATACGACATAAATTTTTGAAAAGAAGACAATTGTGGAAAATAGAATGATGACAATTTTGCTTAAATTTTGCCAAAATAGAATTTTGGGGATTTTAAAGGTCCAATTAGGACCATCTTACTTTTTTATAAAAACAATAAGGTATTGTGGGGTAGTATATATTTTAGTAAGTTATTGTTTGTATGTGTTGCATAATTTCTTCCTTTTAAGAAAATCAAACAATGACATTATTTATTGTCATCATATTCTAGCATATATGAATGTATAAAGCTATTTCTAATCATAAAAATTTATGTTTAACAACAAAATGTCGTAGCTAAATAGAACTTTGGCAATGATAAAAAAGATAATCAGTGTCATTGTTATTATAAATGAACCCTAAATCCTACAATCTTGATAAAGTCTATTTTACCCCTATATTAGTTAAATTCTAGATTTCTTAAATCTCATTATTTATAGTTTTTAAAGGATTAACGGAATTTTTTTTTCTCATAAATATTAAATGCTGAATAAAGAGTCAAATAACTTATTATTTAAAAAGATTTATCAATTAACTTGCCAAATAATGTTTCTATTTTAACCTTCTCAAGATCTATTAAATCTAGATTTACAGGATTTACTAAATCCTATGGCATTTGAAAGTTTTGCCATCCTTTTGAATAACTAAAGACAATACCATGCGAGTTACTACTCTTTTGGTTAGAAAAACAAACTATATGGTTGAGTTTAAAATGGGAAAAGGGACAAGGTATTTAAAATATTTAAAGAATAAGAGATGAGGTTGTCGCTTTAATAAAGAAAATTGAGAATAAATGACCAATAATCAAATAAGATAGCCTCAATTAATATTTTATTGAAGTTGGTAAGCTTTGAACATTCCTAGAGAAATAACTGAACAACTCGTAGTTGGGGCCTAGAACATTGATAAGGTTGTCTATATTATAATATGAAGTTAAAGATTTCAAAACACGAAAATAATAAGTTATATATTGCATTTACATATATACCTCTCAATTCCTATCTATTTACATATCTAACAACTAAATTTTATTTTTTGCATTTATACCACCGAAATTTTTGATAGCACATAAAAGATACCACCTTTTTAACTTTTAAAAAAATAAATACATCTTTTCGTGCATATAAGGTGTTATGTATGTAAAAACTGAAGGTTATGTGTTAGATATGCAAATACATAGAAATTGAGTGGTAAGCATGTAAATCTTCCAAATATTATTTCTTCAATGCAAGGTTAAAACAAGGAATTGGCTAACTTGAGTTTGAATTGAAAAAGGGAGCCCGAGAGTGGAGGGCGATGATGAAGAAGAAGATATAGATGATTTGGATCATGAATTCAACATAGAAGATGAGCAAAACAAGAAACAAATTCAACATATGTCGCCACCACCGGCAGCTAAGCTCACTGCAGAAGCTATGCTCCATGGAAAGATGAGCTATGGGAGAGGCCCTGAGGATGGGGACAATGAAACACCTCAGTTTCCTCCTATCATCACTGGCAACCGTTCTCGAACGGTAATAAAATATTGGGAAATTTATATACCTAGCACACAATTCTTATATATTTACATATCTCACACCTAAACTTTCATATTTACATGCATAACACTTTGGTGCTTTAAACCACTTTTATAATAGTGTTATTTTTGATGTGATATTCAAGATTTGAGTGTTGTGTGTAAATATGTAAGTTTAGGTGTGAGAAATGTAAAATACATTAGAATTGTGTGATATCTTTTTACATGCCCCTAAAATATACTTAGTGTCAGAAACATTCATTTCCTTCAAACAGATCTTTATTCTCTGATTTTTTATATTCTTCAGGTCAGCGGTGAATTCCCCATATCCAATGGCCACAGTCATGGAGATTTCCCATCATCCTTACACAAGCGTGTTCATCCATATCCTGTCTCAGAACCTGGTAAGTTTTCCTAATACTACGGTGAATGATTCTTTTTAACTTGGGAAATTTACATACTTAGCACCCAATTTTTATTTATTTACATATCTCACACCTCTCACACCTAAACTTTCACATCTAAACTTTCACATTTACACACATAGCATTTTGGTGCTTTAAACCTATGCTTGAAAAGATGTATTACCTTTTCATGCATAGGTTTAAATCACCAAAGTACTATGTGTGTAAATATGAAAGTTTAGGTGTGAGATATGTAAATACATAAGATTTGTATGCTAGTATTTAAATGCCTCTTTTAACTTCTTACTTGAAGAAAAGATACTGAATGGGAGGAATGGGATCTCTTTACTCTCAGGGAGCGAAAGGTGGGATGAGAAGAAAGATGGAGGGTGGAGAGACAGAATGGATGAGTGGAAATCGAAGCAAGGGTTTCTCGGAGGAGATCCTGAAGATATTGATCCGGACATGCCAATGTTATTTGCTTCTCTGCATCCAAATTTTGTTCAACATATTTATATATCCGAAGATTTGCATACATACCGCTCAATTCCTATATACTTACAGATCTAACACCTAAACTTCAATTTTTACATATATGCCGCCCTACCTATGCATGAAAATGTTTCAACTTTTAGAAGTTAAAATGATGGTATTTTTTATATGATATGAAAGATTTGAGTGGTATAAATGTAAAAAAAAACAGGAAAAATCAAAGTTTTGGTGTTAGATATGCCAATACATGTGGTATGTATTTAATTGCCCCTGTTAAACAAATGATGCTCGAGATTGTTTTTACCTAAGATAAATTAAAATTATGAGTCATACAATGAAGATATGTGGTAGAGAAATGGAACATGTTTAGAAAAATTGCATCAATTAGGGAAGATAATTTTGATTTCTTTCTAGAATGATCTCTGATAAAAATGATTTTTTTTAAGACAATTAGGAGAGAATTATAAAGGATCTATTGATGACTATAAGTGTAATATCAAAATTTAGGTGTTAGATAGGTAAATGCATGAGAATCATGTGGTATGTATGTAAATGTCCCAAAAAATGGGGCATTTACATTCATACCACACAATTCTTATATATTTACATATCTAACACCTAAGTATTCATATATGCATCCATACCAATAAAATCTTTAAAATCATATAAGAAATAAGCACCATCTTTTTAAAAGTGAAATGTCTTTTTCATGCATAGTTTTGTGACACTAAGGTGTTATAAGTGTAAATTTCAAACTATGGGTTTTAGATATGTAAATAAATAAGAATCGTGTGGTATGTATGCAAATTTCCAAAAACAATAAATAAAACACTTGTTACTGACATGAAATGAAATTTAAATGCTTTCAGTGTGGATGAGGCAAGGCAGCCTTTATCGAGGAAGGTTCCGATTGCTTCAAGCAAAATCAATCCTTATAGAATGGTGATTGTGCTTCGTCTGGTCGTTCTCGCATTTTTCCTCCGTTATAGAATTCTTCATCCAGTTCATGATGCCTATGGGCTTTGGCTCACTTCTGTCATCTGTGAAATCTGGTTTGCCATCTCATGGATTCTCGATCAGTTCCCTAAATGGTTTCCGATCGATCGAGAGACTTATTTGGACCGCCTCTCTCTAAGGTGAAGGAAATTTTTGAGGCAAAAATGTCTTTTTTCTAATTTATTCTCAAGGAAATTATTATTAGGAGATGCACAAAACTAAATTTAAACACACACACACATGCACAAAAAGTTTAATTACATACCACTCAATTCCTATGTATTTACATAGCTAACACCTAACACCTAACTTTTAACTTTTACATATATGCCATCTTACTTCTGCAAGAAAAGGATTATTTATACTTTCTAGAAGTTAAAGTGATGGTATTTTTGATGTGATATGGGAGATTTGGGTGGTATAAATGTAGAAGGTAATGTTTAGTTGTTAGATATGTAAATACATAGTAATTTGGTAGTATGCATGTAAATGTTAAAATAGGGATATTTTTTACATATTACCACTTTATATATTCATTAAAAGATGTATTTCACTTTTTAAAAGTTAAAATTTCACTTTTTAAAAGTTTAAAATAGTGGTATTTATTATGTGATATGAAAGATTTGGGTGTTATAAATGTGAAAGGCAAAGTTTAGGTGCTAGATATGTAAATACATGACAATTGAGTGGTATGTATGTAAATGCCCCTAATTTTATTTTAAATTATTAAAAATATTTTATATTTTGTATCGCATGCTTTCATATTCTTTTTTACTATAATTGTTCATTCTAATTGTCATTTTATTATAACACTAGGTTTAATCATTATTATTTTTTGTCTTTCATAATAAACACTTTAGCTCCTTAGCCAGCTCAAATTTATAGAATTGAGCTAGAGCATGAACTCGCTTAATTAATCAAAATCAAACTCAAGACGAGGGTGGCTCGAGTTCAACTTGACTCGTTTACTAAAGCATGAAAAATATTGTGGATGATCCATATGTGTGGATAGGGTTTACTCGAGTTGTATTCGTGGTGTACATCCCTAATTCACATGTACGGATGATCGCACTTTTAATATTTTTTTCCCAAAGCAAAGACCACAGAAACATGAAAACAATAAATCTATATTGTACTAAATCTTGCAGATATGAGATGGAAGGGGAGCCCTCAATGCTATCTCCTGTCGACATTTTTGTCAGCACTGTTGACCCATTGAAAGAACCTCCTTTGGTCACCGCTAACACCGTGCTTTCAATCCTAGCAGTGGACTATCCAGTGGACAAGGTCTCATGCTATGTTTCAGACGATGGTGCTTCCATGCTCACGTTTGAAGCACTCTCAGAAGCCGCCGAGTTCGCTCGGAAGTGGGTTCCTTTCTGTAAGAAGTTCAATATCGAACCTCGGGCTCCTGAGATGTATTTCTATCTCAAGGTTGATTACCTCAAGGATAAGGTGCAACCAAACTTCGTCAAGGAAAGGCGGGCCATGAAGGTTCTCATTCATAACTTTAATAGTTTTAATGTTTTATTCTCATAATGAATTTTAAATTATCCTTACTCACAATTCTTATTTATTTACATAGTTTACACCTAAACCTTCATATTTACATAAATAGCACTTTAGTGCTTTAAACTTAAACTCATGCATGAAAAGTTGTATCACTTTTAAAATAGTGATAATAGTGCTAATTTTTTATGTGATATTAAATGTGATATTAAAGCTTTGAGTGCTATGTGTATAAATATGAAAGTTTAGGTTTGAGATATATAAATACATAAGAATTGTGTGGCTATGTATGTAAATGACGGTACTCTAAATTTAATTACGAATAGATACTATGCAGAATATGATTGCAAACTAAATAATTCCTGTTTGCTGCACCAGAGAGAATATGAAGAATTTAAGATAAGGATAAATGCATTGGTTGCAAAAGCTACAAAGGTGCCTGCAGAAGGTTGGATTATGAAGGATGGAACCCCATGGCCTGGAAATAACACCAGAGATCACCCAGGCATGATTCAAGTTTTTCTTGGCCACAATGGCGGCCATGACGAAGATGGCAATGAACTTCCTCGTCTTGTTTATGTCTCAAGGGAGAAAAGACCAGGTTTCCAGCATCATAAGAAGGCCGGTGCAATGAATGCTCTGGTAATCAAACTAAAGTTACTTCTTTTAGCTTTTTTCTTTATTTAAAAAATTAGTAAAGTACCAAACTTGTTCTCTGACTATTTACATTGGGGCTATTTTAGTCCCAAGGATTATAAAAGTGCTAAATTATTTTCTAACCTTTTTAATGGGGGTCAAACTAGCTATTGAGGACTATTTTAACACATATTAAAAGAGTTTGGGGACTAAACTAATGCTTGTAATAAATTTTGGGGCTGAAATGAACCCTCAGAAAAGATGTAAGAGATCTTTTTTAACACTTCTTAAAAAATGGACTGTTGGCTTCAAATTGAGTAATGCGTCAAAATAGTCATCTGATTGTTTGCTTGGGATAATTTTAGTCCTTGAATCTATAAAAATGTCAAATTAGTCTTCGGACTCTTTAAATTGGGGCTGAAATAATTTTTTTGGGAGACTATTTCAGCCCATATTAAAAAGGTTTGAAGATTAAATTGATATTTTTATATACTTCGGGACAAAAATAGTCCCGGTAAAAAATAAAGATACCATTTTGACACACTTCTCGCTTCAAATTTATCTAATTCTCTGGAGTTTGCAGATTCGTGTGTCAGCAGTGCTTACAAATGCACCATTTATGCTCAACTTGGACTGTGATCACTATATCAACAATAGCAAGGCTATAAGGGAGTCCATGTGTTTCTTAATGGATCCTCAGGTTGGAAGGAAAGTGTGTTATGTTCAGTTCCCCCAAAGATTTGATGGCATCGATAAGAATGATCGATATGCAAACAGGAACACCGTCTTCTTCGACGTAAGTTGCATGAATCACTTTGAGTTTTTTATCTTTCTTTTATTTTTTTTGTAGTGTTTGTTGTGAATTATGCAAAATTTAATTCAAATAGTTGAGAGAAAATAAGATAGAGAGAAGATAAATTTAATTATAAAAAATACATATCAATAATTTTATGCATATTCTTCTCTTTGATTTTTTGTTGTTGTCACTGTAGTTTTAACCATAAGTTTGATTTTGGAGTTTTTATCATTTTGATCTCTCTAAAATGACCTAAAGTGAGAAACTAGGGCAGCCTTAAAAAATGCAGTAAATTCTCTAAAACATTTGTAATAAAATAATTCACAATTATGTAATTTCAATTTATTTGTGACTGAGTTTACATAAGGTAGTGCTTTGTATGGTAAAAATTAGGCTCCACAACTTAATGTTGTTTAGAGTTTGTGGTTAGAAGTTTGGTTTAACTCGAGCAGGATTTGGTGAGCTCTGTAAGTCTAGATTTAGTTGTTTCTGAAACAATTAATGAATGTGAAGGACTTTTGACCAGGAATGAGCATTCTGTATGTTTGAATGAATCTATTTTCAAACTGATCAAGCTGATTGCAACCAAAATCCGAAATCAGAAATTTGAAAAATCAAATCAGTCAAAATTTTGATAAGACTGAATCGAAATATAATTCAATTTAAACGGTTCGGTCATGAACAAATCAAAATTTTGTTATTAGTTCGAGTTCGGTTATGAATAAACATCAAGAATTACATATCTTATCTGTATAATATCAATTTAATTTCATAAATACCTCTTTTAATTTTAATTTTCATTTTGACAGTTTCTTCGGTTAAATGAAAATAAAAACCAAACCAATAAACAAAAACCGGATGTTGAGATTTTAAAAACAACAAATTGAAATGCATTTTTTGAACCAAATTGAATCAGCTAAATTTTTTTCGGTTTTGTTCGAGATTTTTAGGTTTTTGACCAAATCATGCATACCCCTACATTTGACAAAAAAAGGATTTGAAATGAGTTGATAAGGTGAGACCAGGCAGTAGTACCCAACTGCATGGCTCAACCATTCTAATTTATTAGGTCCATTGTATAATAATTTAGGAAGATTTACATGCATAGTACTCAATTCTTATGTATTTACATATCTAATGCCTAAACTTAAATTTTGGCATGCCTACCACCTTACCTATGCATGTAAAGGTGTATTTCTCATTTAAAAAGTTAAAATGGTGGTATTTTTGATGTGACATAAATGTAGAAGAAATAAAATTTAGGTGTTAGAAATGTAACTACATAGGAATGGGGTGGTATTTATGTAATTGCCCCAATCATTTATCGGCTTTTTTCATATTTTTTCAGATCAATATGAAAGGATTAGATGGAATCCAAGGTCCAGTTTATGTGGGAACTGGTTGTGTCTTTCGCCGTCAAGCTCTCTATGGCTACAACCCACCCAGAGGACCGAAAAGGCCAAAAATGGTGAGCTGCGATTGCTGCCCGTGTTTCGGCAAGCGGAAGAAGAAAATGTACAACAAGAATGGCAGTGAGCTTCCATCAGAGGGAGGTGAGGTTTTCCTTGCTTTATCTTTTACCTCCTAATTCTTTTGTATTTACATATTTAACATCAATATATTTCTTCTTACATTTATAACACCCAAATCTCTTATGTTCAATAAAAAATCACTATTTTAAATTTTAACGGTTAAATTCACCTTTCATGTAAGATGGCATGTATGTAAAAATTGAAGTTTGGGTGTTAGATATGTAAATATATAGGAATTGAGTGGATGTATGTAAATCTTCCTTTCATACATACCACCAAATTCTTATGTATTTACTTTATTTTTTTACATTTATACCAGTCAAATCTATCATATCCCATAAAAGATATCACTATTTTGAATTTTGAAAGGTGGAATTCACATTTTCTTTCATTAATTATGGCGGTGTGTGTGTGGGAATTGAGTGGTATCTATGTTAATCTTCCTTGTTAGAAGTGTTTGAACTTGAACTCTTCTTATGGAATTTGAACAGGAGTTGATGAAGACAAGCAGATGCTGATGTCTCAGATGAATTTTGAGAAGAGATTTGGACAATCTGCAGCCTTTGTGACGTCCACTTTAATGGAGCAAGGTGGAGTTCCCCCTTCTTCAAGCCCTGAAGCTCTTCTCAAAGAGGCCATTCATGTCATCAGCTGTGGTTATGAAGATAAGACAGAATGGGGATCAGAGGTAATTTTTTGGTCTTTGGGGCTTTTTATTTCAGAACAGTATTTTCTATTCAAGAGTCTTATTTAAATTATAATAATATCATTATTAAATAGGAGAATTTACATACCTAGCACACAATTCTTATGTATTTACATATCTTACACCTAAATTTTCATATTTATATATAGAGCACTTTGATGTCATAAACCTATTCATGAAAATGTGCATTTCACTTTTACAAAATGTTAATACTGTAATAGTGATTTGATTGTGTTTTGTGTACATATGAAAGTTTGGGTACGGGATATATAAATACATAAGAATTGTGTGCTACGCATGTAAATGCCTCTAATATTATTATTAAATAGAAAAATTTACATACGTAGCACATAATTCTTATATTTTTACATATATCACACCTAAAATTTCATATTTACATACATAGCACTTCGGTGTTTTAAACTTATGCTGGAAAATGTGTAATTTACCTTTAAAAAGTGGTTATAATGCTATTTTTTATTTGATATGAAAGATTTTAATGTTATGTAAATATGAAAGTTTGGTGTGAGATATGTAAATACAGAAGAATTGTGTGCTGTATGTAAATAAATAGTGTCATGAAAATTGTTTAATTTTACTAAATTCTGATAAAACTGAGACTTTTTTTTCGCCTTTCAAGATTTGTGTGTATAGAAACCCGTAACTTTGTTAAATTCTATGAATGGTAGGATTTAAATAATAATGGAGTTGCAAATGGCATTTATCAAACTAAAAGAATTTAAAGTCTCCAAAATTAATTTAGCATGATTTAATTTAAATCTCTCTTACATCCTTGCCTAAAATAGGAATATCAAACAGCCGCCTAGTCCCTTAGATCTTGGTTGGGATCAATTTTATTTTTCTTTTTATTTTTATTATTTTTAATTTAAAAAAACATTTTTGTTTGGAGCGTTCTTACATGTATTTATTTTTTATGTTTTAAAACAAATAATATATTCTTGAAAACACTTGAAATGACATTTAGGTGTTTTGAGTGTTTTACAAAACAATCACATCTCTATCAACACATCTCAAACATGTTTTACTTCAAATCAAAACATACACAAAACAAAATAAAAAAAATAGAAAAAAAAAGCAAAAGTGATCCCAAATGGCTCCTTTATTTTTCTAAAAATGAATTAATATTACAACAACTTCTAGAGTATATTTGTGGCGGCTGTTTATTTGTATAATGGTGCAAAAACAGATTCTTCCAAAGCTAAAGTGGGTATTATAGATTCTTGCTCTTTTCTCTTTTGAAAAAGTCACATAACTTCCTTTTACAACATTCACACTCTTATGGGGTTTTGTTTTAAGAACTAGTTTTCAACATACAAATTTGTAAAAAACAATAATAAAAAAATTACATACCAACCAATTCTTATGCATCCACATATCTATCACCTGAACTTTGATTTTGACATTTGTACCATGCTGGTCCTTCTATCTCACACTATAAGTATCATTATGTTAACTTTTAAAACTGAAATAAACTTTTTCATGCTTGAACACACTTCCTATGTAAAAAGTGAAGTTTAGCTGGTAAATATGTAAATATATAGGAATTGGGTGGTATGTGTATAAATCTTCCTATTATTGTTGTTGTAGTATATTTAATAATCTAATCTCTCGTTCCATTAATTTAACAATGTTCTCTTACTTTCAGAGTAAAAAATAAAACTGAAAGTGGCTTTATTACCCCCAAAATTGAAACTCAATTCTAATCTTTTAATCGGTCAAATTTGTGAAAAAGATGAAATTCTAATCAAATAAACACTTGAACAGACTTCTAAAATTGAGATTCAATCATTTTCTAACATGCAGAACAATAAGTTTATTTCATTATAATTGTTTGTGTCCCAACTCAAGAATATTTCATCAATTTTCCAATTAAATTTTCCATATTACACGTTTCAGATGAAAATTTTCTTATGTAAAAATTGAAGTGTAGATGTTAGTTATGTAAATACATAGAAATTGAGTGGTAATATGTAAGTTTACTCATGGCACCCAATTCCTATGGATTTACATATCTAATTCCTTCTTTTTTACATTTATACCACCCAGATCTTACATATTACATAAAAAAAAAAATAGCCCGACTTTAAATTCAAGAAATTGAAATACGTTTTTTTAAAATAAACCTTTTTCATCATGTAAAGTGGCATGTATGTAAAAAATTGAAATTTAGGTGTTAGATATGTCAATACGTAACAATTGAGTGGAATGCATGTAAATCTTCCTAAAAGATAGGAAAAAGCTTTTGCAGATAAATCCTTAGCCTCTAAAGTTGAAATACTAATTTCATCAACTTCTTGCTGAATTTCACAGCTGGGATGGATCTATGGCTCAATCACAGAGGATATCTTGACCGGATTCAAGATGCACTGCCGCGGATGGAGATCCGTATACTGCATGCCCCACAGGCCGGCGTTCAAGGGATCTGCCCCCATCAATCTCTCCGACCGGCTCAACCAGGTTCTCCGGTGGGCTCTCGGTTCGGTTGAGATCTTCTTCAGCCGGCACAGCCCGGTCTGGTATGGCTACAGGAACGGCCACCTCAAATGGCTTGAACGCTTCTCGTATATAAACACCACCATCTACCCCTTCACCGCTCTCCCTCTGCTTGCTTACTGCACCCTTCCTGCTGTCTGCCTTCTCACCGGAAAATTCATCATGCCATCCGTAAGTTTCATACCAATTAAATTATGGAACATTTACATATATACCACACAATTCTTATGTATTCACATATCTAACAATTAAACATTCATATTTACATGCATATCACTCAAATTTTTAACATTACAACAAAAATATCACCATCACTATCGTTTTAAAAGTGAAATACTCATTTGCATACGTAAGTCTATGACGCCAATGTGCTATTAGTGTATATATCAAACTCTGGGTTTTAGTTATGTAAATACACAATAATTTTGTTATATATATCTAAAATTTCCATTGAATTAATGAAGATTTACAAACGTACCTCTCAATTCTTATGTATTTATAAATGTAACACTTGACCTTCAATTTTTTCGTACATGCCACCTTGACACCTAACATATGCATGAAAAGTGTGTTTCAATTTTTCAAAGTTAAAATGATGATATTTTTATGTGATATGAACATTTTGGTTGGCATAAGTTAAAATGATGATATTTTTTATGTGATATGAACATTTTGGTTGGCCTAAATGTAAAAAGTTAAATTTTGGTTTTAGATATGTAAATGCAGAGGAATTGGGTGCTCTGTATGAAAATGCCACTTAAATGAATTTCTAACAAATTTATATTGAAACTAAATGATCAAAATAATTATGGGAATTTATTTGCAAATCACACAATTCTTATGTATTTAGATATCTGATACTGAACTTTTTATATTTACATATTTAACACTCAAATATTTAATATCACGCAAAAAAATATCACTTTTACTAACTTTTTAAAAGTAAAATACATATCTTCATGTGTAAATTTATGACACCAAAGTGTAATAATGTAAATATCAAACTTTAGGTGTTGATGTGTAAATACATAAAAATTGTGGTATGTATGTAAATTTTCCAAACAATTTCTTGACTTTTTATCTATCAACATTTTCGTCTGTGCTCTGTCTGGTGTTCAATTTAGTTTCTCAACTCTTCAAATTTGAATTTATTTGGTTTTAGGCTAAACCTTCTTGTCTTTTTAGATAGAAATTGGTCGTGCAAAGCTTTCTATGACAGCATGGGAAATTTACGTACACACCACACAATTCTTATGTATTTTACAAATCTAACGCCCAAAGTTTGATATTTACACTTATAACATCTTGATGTCATAAACTTAATGTATGAAAAGATGTATTTCATTTTTAAAAAGACACTGATGATGATACTTTTGATGTTATGTTAAAGATTGGAGTGGTATGCACATAAATACAAATATTTAGTGTTAAATGTGTAAATACACGAGTTGTGTGGTATGTATGTACATGCCCCTTTGGATTTCTTGGAGTTAATCCATTAATTTAATGTGATGGAGTCTAAAAAGTATTTATTGCTCTAATGTGAAGTTTTTTCCATCAATCCTTGATCAAAGTAGTGTCAAAGTTGATGTTGGACTAAATTGATTCGAACTTAGTGAGCTGAATAATTGATGGTAGATTTACATAAATGCCCCTCAATTCTTAATTATTTACATATCTAACACCCAAATTTCAATTTTTAATTACAAATGTTTCATAATTAATTTGAACATCTAAAAAATTTTGAGACTGAAATGAAAACACCTAAGAAGTATTAAGATTCATTTAATCTATATATGCTCTGTCTATTAATATTTGCTTGCATCATAATGCAGATAAGCACATTTGCAAGCCTCTTCTTCATTGCCCTCTTCATCTCCATCTTCGCGACGGGGATCCTCGAACTGCGGTGGAGCGGAGTGAGCATCGAAGAGTGGTGGAGAAACGAGCAGTTCTGGGTCATCGGCGGCGTCTCCGCCCACCTCTTCGCAGTCGTGCAAGGCCTGCTGAAAATCCTCGCCGGAATCGACACCAACTTCACTGTCACTTCCAAGGCCTCCGATGATGAGGAGTTCAGCGAGCTCTACGCATTCAAATGGACCACTCTGCTCATCCCTCCCACCACCATTTTGATCGTAAACATTGTCGGAGTTGTGGCTGGAATATCAGATGCCATAAACAATGGGTATGATTCATGGGGACCGCTTTTTGGGAAGCTCTTCTTCTCCTTTTGGGTGATCGTTCATCTCTATCCGTTCCTGAAGGGGTTGATGGGGCGGCAGAATCGGACTCCGACGATCGTCGTGATCTGGTCGGTTCTCTTGGCTTCCATCTTCTCATTGCTGTGGGTGAGGATAGATCCATTTGTGGTGAGAGCTGTAGGACCAGATGTGAGGCAATGTGGGATCAATTGCTGAAACTTACAGGTGATGCTGATACTCTACACAGATTGTTGTGTTTTGACATTTTGTGAAAGTTTTGGTTGTATTCTATATTATGAGAGTTTCATACATGTGATTAATGGTGAGAGTGAAGTTTTCATTTTGTTGTGGTTTATACTGGAGATGAAATGTGTCATATGGAAGTTTTAATGGACAATTGAAAAAAATATTGTTGAATTGATACGCCAACAATAATGGTGGAATGAACTTGTTGTCTGAATGTTAGAAAATGATTGGAACTCATTTTTAAAAGTGTGGTCAACTGTTCTTTTATTGGTAATTTGATCAAAATGAAAAATGTGAGTTGGGTTTTTATCGTAAATTTTGATATTTGATTGCGAATTTGAAAAATGGAAGAAAGCGGGGGTTAGATTTGTAAATAGCAATGTTTCGAGAGCTGTGTAATTGGCCCCCCTTTTTTTAAAAAAATTGGACCGTTAAAAGATATTAGAATTGAGTTTCAGTTTTGAAGGCAAAAACGTCAGTAAGTTTTGTTTTTTTACTATAGTAATAATATGATATTGTTAAATTAATGGGATGGGAAATTAGATTATTAAATATATTACAATAATAATAATAATAATTTATTAAAAATTTATGTTAGAATGAGTAAAAAATGGAACTCACGCGTATGAGGGAAGTATAAATTATATTATATTTGTGACTACATATTTTATTGATGCTTGTCATGTTCTTTCCCACACCTATGCTAGCCCTCTCATGGACATATAAGTAGACCATGGAACAAATAAAGCAAGCCTACAAGGGCTCATATACAAGGGCTCATAAATAAATATGTATTATATATAGTTTATCAAAATGTGTGCTGATGAGCTCATTGCTCTTGACAAGCCCATGGAGCATGAGGATGTCAATCAGAAAATTCTTGATGATTTTGATGAAATATTGTAAGTTTGTCATCAACATTGTCGACGTGCCATGGTGATTACCTTTGATGAACTACAGGAGACGTTGACAAGTAAAAACTCTTGATTCATCTCTACTACAACTCTTCACCCTTCTTCACCATTACGAACAAGACTACTTTTTTATTTAATATTGGAAATTTCAACAATTAAAATAAATGTCCAATATCGGATGGGTGGCCCTATCTCTATTTTTCAACATCATTATATATGGGGAACATCTCTCACATCGTTCATATATGAATTTTTTTGCAATGGTGTTATGTTTATTGACATTTTGATATATATTTTCATGTATTTTTTTCTGATGAATCCACCTTATAATTGTCATCGGCTTCAAAGCAAACTCAATGACAAAATTGTCCTTTGGTATCATGTCAATCAAATGCAAGACTTACAACAACTAAAATGTTTGACAACTCAACATAGCTTCTTTAGACTAATGCCCCCATGTTACCATTGAACTAGGTGGTCTCTCTATTCATACTGCTTATGAAGTATTTTATGATATCGTGATGGATGATAATCCTTATCACAGATGTAAGTTTAAAATACATCCTCATATACTTTTCATTAAATAACATTTCTTTATCTCTAACATGAAAATAATATCGTTTATACCTCTAAATTAAGGCATCAATTGAATACTTACCAATATCTTTGTGAAATCTTCAAATATAGGGAGACTCTTTTATTATGATGAATTATGGATGGTGTGTAAGGATGAATGACTTCTTCTATATTGAATCCTTTCAGGAAGTAGGGGCACACAATGTCCGTGGATTATGTTAAAATCATACTAGCATTGTGCGGAAGAGGCAGAAAGAAAGAGAGAAGAGTAACTCGTGGCAAGAGAGAGAGATAGAGAGAGACAACCTCTGACTTTTTTATTTTTTTACATTTTTCCCCTGTTTATAAGCCCTAAAGTGTCTTTTTATAATGATATAAACATATATATAAAATGTATATAATGTTAAGTTTTATCCAACAGCTTTATATTATGTTCAACACTTTATCATAGTCAGTAATTTTATGTCATATCTTGCAGCTTTATGTCATATCCTATAAATTTATGTCATGTCTCACTATATAGTTGAACTTGACAGTTTGACAATTTGGTAGTTCGGTAGTTATGCAATTTGACTAGTTATCCAAATATGCAGTTCATCCATTTCAATAGTTAAGTAGTTTGTCAGTTTGGTAGTTGGAAAGTCCAACAACTTCAACATTAGGTTGTTTGACTAATTCTTTATCTATAGTTCAACCACTTCAGCAATTAAGCAGTTTGTTGGTTCCACAGTTAGGCAATTTGACAACTTAACAATTCTGTTGTTGGATAGTTCAATAGTTGGGTAATTAGATAGCTAGTCAATTCAACAATTAGAGAGAAGTGTAATTAAACACCTGGGCAATCTCAACAATTATACAGTTAGGCAGTTCAGTTAATTGTCAGCCAGACAATTCAACATTTTCGTAATTCAATAGCTGGTCAATTAGACAATTGGTGAATTCAACAAATTAGTAGCTGTGCAATTAAGAAATCTGCTAGCTAGGAAGCTCAAAAGGCATTTTTAGGTTTATTTCTACCAAATATTTTTCATTAATAACTTTCTCAAATGTTATGACCACTTCATCCAAATGGTATTATAGATGAGGGCATCCATTATCTTCCACTTTTAGGCATCTTGTTACCAACTCTCTTCTCGAATTATCATACTTTTTTGAAGTTTGTCTTTAGTTCATGCCAATGAAACAAAATTCATATGCTACCCTTTTTTAAGTCCTTTATTAACACTTTCCCTTCTCTTAAGATCATATTTTATGAAGTGTAGACTAATCACTAGTTATATTAATGATTATAAGTATCATGTCATTTAGTTAACCACAAATTATATGTGTATATAAGTTAATGCCCATGGATTGATGGAGTACAAGGAGTATCTCGAACATGTGATAGAGAAGGGAATATATTTTTAATGCCCATGGATTGATGGAGTACAAGGAGTATCCCGAACATGTGATAGAGAAGGGAATATTAGGGTATATTCGAGGAAATTACGGGTGTACTAGAAATATCAAATCAACAATCCCTAACACCATGATAAGGGCCTCAATTCGAACAAGATCAATTGACGAGTACCAAACACCGAGTACGAGTTGTCGAGTACCAGTTCCCAAGTACCAGATGTCTAATATCGACTGTCAAGTACCAACTACCAAGTATCAATTAATCTTGCACTGAGAATGAAGGATAAGCTTTTCATCATTCGGTCTCATCTCCTCAAAACAAGATCATCTGCACCAACGGAAACAATGCCATACTCTAGTCAATTTAGGTCATTATCATATCTTTATTCAGCTTAAGTAACTTTTTGTTCTGATAATGGATATTTAAAAAATTATACTTAATGGTTTCTCTCATCTCATTTCCCCTTCTCACATATGTAAGTATAGCTGATTTTTTGAAAATTTCCATAAATATAAAATCATGACTTTTTATTTTGATAATGGGAGAATACAATGCCTTCTCTTTTAAAGATATCTCTCATCCCACGTCACCTTTTATATATGTGACTGTAATGTATATTTTGAATATTTCCATCATCATCCTATAAAAATAAATCTCAATTTTTTTTTTCCATTCATGTCTCTATATTATTGTTCTTGTGCATTCCCTACTATTTTCTATATCATCAATCATCTCTCTAGCCCTAAATGCCATGCTTTCTCGTGCTTCTTTGAACTACTTAGAACTTTATAGTTTTGATTGCAAGTATTATGTATGGCTACAATCCTATTCCTGAAAAAAACTTGAACTTTGTTCCTCATTTTATATATTGACAAGTGACCTGACCCGCAATTACACAGTAATTTAACTTCAAAAAGATGGCAAAAACTTGACCTAATTTATATTTAGTGGCTAGTGTGTAAATTTGATATGTTATAAAATTTAGAAATTTTTATTAATAGTTTATACACTAGAGGTACTACACAAGTATATGTATCGTTTTAAGTAATATATAACATTTTTTAAAAACACAATATTGATCCCACAAAGAAGCAAAGCAAGAAATGCCTTAGGCTAATTTTAGTCTACCACTATCAGGACTTAGTTTAGAATGTCTATTAAAGTGGTTTTTATAATAACAACACCTAAATGAAAATCTTAAATCTAAAGATGGTTTGAAAAATTTTGAGATGGTAAAGACTACCCTTCTCATGCAATGACATTGATAATGTGTAGGAAAGAAATACATAAAATATAATCTTGTCAGCGACAAATAGGAGCATACCTATTTTTTACCTCTTCCAAGCGTTAAGAACATTGAATAATCTAAAGTTGGTGTCGACGTGTATATTTTAACATCATTTTTGGTGATGTCTTTCTTTCCTTTTAGTGCTTAAAATCTAGCCATAAGGCTTTTCCTTTGACTATCCTAGAAGACTAGAGATGGAACCCACTTATATAGAAATTCAAACCACCTCTTAGCTCTCTTCAAAACGCTATTTGGCTTGTCATAAATCTCCAGCACTTGGAAGGTTAGAACAACCTTGTGAGGATTTGAGGATGAGTTCTCATAAGGTTTAGAAGCCTCAGAAACACGCATTACGACAATCGTACATTCGTGCATGAATATCACCATTCAGACGGTTTAATAATAATAACGTATAATCTCTCTCTCCCACGCCTCCCTCTTCTCTCTCCCGCTCTCCTTTCTCATGGTAGCCAACATAAAAAAAAAATCTCTTCTCTCTCTCTCTCTCCCCCATCCTTCTTCCATTCTTCCCCTCACCTCATAGCCACCTTTCTCTTCATCTCCCTCTCCTATATAAGAGTCAACTCACTTCTTCTATACCTCAAGGTAGCCCCTTTTTCCTCTCCCTTCTTTTTTCACCGGCAAACACCCTCCAGCAAACCCCCTCCGGCGAGCTTCCCGCCTCGGTCTTGTATGTGCCCCCCACCTTTTTTTATTTCTTTCTTATTCATGTATATACCTAATAACAAAAAAAAAATTGAAAATTTACATGCATGTCAGTCACTTTCTATGTATTTGCATGAGAGAGAGAGAGATTGACATGCATGCCACCCAAATTTCATATCACTTGATTCTTATATATTTCTACATTAAAAATCTAAACTTTGATAATTTCATGTATGCCACTCATGCATTTATATTTATAACATTTCATTGAAAAAGAAAAATAAAAAGGAATTTAGGTGCATACCACCCTTATGGTTCCAAAGAAAAGGATGACATTTGCATGCATACCACTCAATTCTTTTGTATTTA